AAGTCTCTTACTGTCATATGTACATACTGTGAGCACTGCCTCGATATCGCTTTAAGTGAACATCAACTCTGGGATGCATTTGCAGTCAACTGATGAGTCGCAAATAGGACCAAACGTGCGTCCTGGATTCCACTTCCATCCATTATCCATTTTTGCTTACATATAGAAATAGATACAAAGAATAAAATCTATTCGATGATAGTCCTTTTTGGTAAATTTGGATAGTGTAATGAGAAGACGAAGATTATCAGAACTACGTGATATATTAGAGCAATGCATTTCGAACAATCTAATCACACACAATATACGTATTAAGAATATTTATACATATAAATAAAAGGTCAACCAGACTGGAAATAGAGGGTGAAAGGGAGACAATGATAATGAAGAAAATAATGTGAAAACAATTTTAAACCTCATCACTATGGATAATAAGCTAATATTACTAGGGTAGGTTTAAGGTGAGAACAAACTGTTTTTGAACACATAAAGGTGGGTTGAATTTTCGTATGGCTAAGGCTTCAATAAACCTTAGTATACACACTTTTACACTTTTGTACAACGCAAGGTAGATGCGTAAAATCTTTTTTGTATTAACATCAGTTTTGAGTGCGAAACTATTGTTTGAGTTATTCGTTAATAACTATTCTTGAAATATACGATGTACAAAAATCTAATCTACATGCATTTATTTCTAACTGTGGGCATTGTTATTGGTAAAGATGGGTAATGGCTAGTAATGGAATCCAGGACAAACGTTTCATCCCATTTGAGACTCGTCAACTGGATGTACCGGCATCAGAGTTGATGTTTACTTCGGGACTCGAACCCAGTACTGTTCGCTTCGAACGTCATCACTTTATCCACTTAGCTACTGAGTCCTGATAGCCACTTGTTTGTGCGATGGAGTGAAATTTAAATTCACTTGGTATTGTTTACTTGAATCTTCTCATTGATGTTCATGACTACGGGTGATTAGTCTGTTATTGGCATATGTGCATACTAAACGTATTGCCTCGATATTGCCTAGATTCTCAAGCGAAGATGTGTAGTAGCTAGAAGTGAAATCCACGACGTACGGTTCATCCCATTCGAGACCCGTCAAATGGATGCAACTACATCCCAGATTTGATGTTCACTTAGGGCAATATCTAGGCAATGCGCACAGAACACACATATACCAAAAGAGACTGATCAATTGCATTACTAAACATCAATGGAAAGATTCAAGTAAACAATACTAAGTGAATGGTTATTGGTGTTTTCTACTTTAAAAAGTTCATTCGTGTATTTATGTTTCGCAAATTGCTAAACAAAGATCTACTTTTATAAAGACTATCAGTTTTTCAAGAAAGAGATTTTAGCTGTTCATAATTTACAGGTTAACATCCCTTTTTTCCAAATTATATCGATTACTAAATAGCAGCTACTTTATGTCTTAAACAAAAAAATTCACAATTTTTCATATGATTACTTAACGTATATTTTATTCAACTGTAGAAGTTTTGTTTAAAGTATAAAATTGAACTGAAATGGATCGAATTTTACGTTTTCTAATCGAATGATGTCAACTCTTCAATCTATTTACAGTTATCAAATGAAGACTGTGGTGTGTGCTACTGATGTCGACAGATATAAGTAGTATGTTCCATCAATTGAAAGTGAAATACCTTGTAAAAAAAGATTAAGAAGATCAAAGAAAAGAGAACGAGAACAGAGAATGATTGATGTGGAAACGAAGGAACAATGAAGTTTGAGACACTTGTGTTGGATATAATACTGAAATAAAATTTTATCAATTACACAATAGATTTATTGAACCGTTAAACCTTTCAAAACAAGCCGATATATAAAACTGTATATAACTATTATCATGCAAATCTACCGATATATATACATAGAATTAAAAGTCACCTTATGTGTTTTCTTCTGTCTGTTTATATAGTGCGTCTAGTATAAATTAAAACAAGGTAGTGTCATTTAAATATAATTGACTTAGATGTTTCTTTAGATACTGTTCATCTACAAATAGTCCAATCGTTAAAAAGAATACTTTTAGTTATGTTCTAAAAAGATCAAAACTTTAAATCAGTATTGTAACCCTATAATGATAGAGTTAATATTATGTAATTTTGTCACTAAGTTGTTGATAATATCTAGTGAACTGCCTTATTCTCTCAAACAAAGCTAAATCAGTAAATGAAGTACATTTTATCCTGGGATATTCATTCAATGATTATTAATGTAAAGCCATTTTATTTATAGAAGATTAAACGGTAATATTAATAGTTTAAATGGTTGAAACAATAGAATTAATGTGCAAATCATGGCTCAACAAGCAAAAAAAAACAATCACTTCTCAGAAATTAATTCATTTGTTTCACTGGTTGAAATCATGAGTCAATTGAAGCTAGACCACCATGGAAAACCTGGGAGCACTGGACGAACCTGTCAGTCTCGCGCCAGGCGCTTAACCAACTAGACCACTGAGCCGGTATCCGATGGTGTTAATGTCTAACTTCAACCAATCCACGAAGTCCTGTGTTCGAATCTCGCGGAGGGCGGGATCGTGGATGCGCACTGTTGAGGAGTCGCATACTAGGACGAAACGGCCGTCCAGTGCTTGCAGGTTTTCCATGGCGATCTAGCCTCAATTGACTCACGATAATTTAACCAGTGAAATTTCTAAAATCTTCACAAAACCCATTCTGATAATTATTCATGTGTATCAATAAATTAATGTTTTGCTAACTCTTTCATGAAGACGTTTTGTTTTATAAGAACTTTGAAAAACAATAAAATAAACATTGAGGGTATGTAAATCTTAAATTTGCTAATTATCATTAAAAAAAACACTGAATAGTGACATAAAAGTATTCAAACATATACGAAATCAAAATAATTCACAGTTGAATTTATGGGTCGGTTTAAGCTAGACTATCTGGAAGTAGTGAAACGGTCGTTTTGTCTTAGTATAGGACTCCTCAGTAGTGCGCATTTACGACCCCACTCGGGAGACTCGAACCCAAGACCTTCGGTCTTACATAAGAATGCCTAACCTCTAGGTCACTAAGACGGCATTTAATGGTGTTAGTGTTAATTTAAATAGATTGTTAGTTTTAGGAAAATATTTCAATTGTCACAATTCATTTTGTATGAAGTGATAAACTTATTTGAATTAACTTGTTTACTTAGTCAATTTAGTCTATCTCCAACTATTGAATTTACGAAATACATAATTATTAATTCAATAAATACTTTGGCTGTATAAATCATGTTTACATTTTTGCGCTGTCTCAAGGGTCGGAGTAATTTTGGCGAGACTATAATTTATAGACGAACCAATCAGGTATAAGATAACAGGTTTTAGATTTTGGCACGAAATTCACTCATCCATTTTGGATACATAGAATCTTTGTATTAAAGCTGATATCACTTCGTGATGAAAACCCTAAATCTAATTCCTAACTTTGATCATCAACTGTAAATCATAATTTTAATTTCCCATATTGGGTTATAACTCTCATTTGGTCGTAGTTATTAGGTGGACACTTTCAAGGTCACTCTAGCGTCGCTCAAAGGTCGTTCACAAATTATAGTCTCACCGTAATTATCAACACATCACTTGATTAGCAAAGAACAATAGCAAACAATTATCAATCAAATAAGTTTTATATTTTATTATTAGCAAATATACTTCTTAACAAAATTTTTTTAAGGTTCAATCATGACAGTATTAGTTCCATTATAATTAAGAATAAAAACCCATTGTTATCAAACATATACATTTACTTCTATGCATAGTTGTAAATAGACACACACACTTTGGTTATTTCAGTTGTTGTACTAATAATGATTGACAATATCAGATTATGTGTAAAAGATGATTTTAACCTCAATACCAATGTTCATAATGATTATTACACTTTTTTTAAGAACACTATTAGCAACGGAAGAATATTTCCTTTGATTCCCTCATTTTTCTTTTATAAATGATACAGTCCTAATTTGTACAAGTAACACATCTTTTCAGTTTCAGTGTATTTTATTTATTATAGAAATACCATATTAAATAACTTAAGGTCATAAATTATTCCAAAATATAAGAAGCTTACATCACAATAAGGAGTTAAGGAAGAAGTATATTAGTAGTATGTATCTCAGTATTCTTTGTACTGAAATCGTTTGTTACCATGATTTGTATAACTCCTTGCCGTATGTATACATACCATGGATCAAAACTAAATTTGGATTATGGGTCAGTGATCTAGAAATTAGGCTCTCACGTGAAAGACCTAACGTCTTGGGTTCGAGGGATAAATGCATATTGCTGAGAAATCTTATACTAAGACACACTAGCTATTCAGTGCCTCCATGTTTTCAGTAGCCGTCAAACCTGTAAAGGTTCATAATGATAACGACATTTACAGATTTTCACAACCCCCTTCTCTTAAATTTATTGAACTGCACGTGGTTATTTGTAAGAAGTCTTACTGTTACGTAATATAGGTATCCACACATTAGTCGTTAGTTTTTAAATAATGAAGTATATGCATAATGGAAATCTAGTAACGTTTTTGATATAACTAATTTTGTTGTGAAACAAAAGTCAAATGCTTTCCACTTATTCTAAATTGAAGTTATCATTTTGTTTCTTCGTGGTAAAATTTTCATGTGAACTTATTTTAAACAAAACCAAGTGACGATTATTATTCTATATTGATTTTGAACAATTGGTCTTATCAGAAAGAAAATCTATGACTGTAAGAGGATATAAAGCTGGTAGCTGTTATAGATATTTTATATAGAATGTAAATAATCTGAGATTAGAAACTTCAGTTCTCCCTTCTTGAAAATGTCAAATCCATTCAAGTCATTCAACTAACCAATTCCAAAATCTAAATACTATGAAACCAAATATAAATTGGATTCAAACAAATAACATTTGTTGAAATATAGTCATTGTATTCATTATAAAAATAGCTGAATGAATAACTCACCTTTAAACAAAATATCAAAGACAATGGTAATGTAATTATGATCAGTAAAATGCACAATACATGTAAAAAACTTTCCATAAACCATTCTTCATCTGTATGAACAGTATTTTGTACCAAAGTTCGAGTTTCTTCACTGTCCTCCATAAAATCTTTAGTAATGAAATACTTTTTCAATGATGACAATTTGCATAGACGTTCACGTTTCATGTATGTCACATTATTCACTTCAGTCTTTAATGGTTTTCTAGGTTGTATAAGTGAGTAATTCTTGAAGAAGTCAATATTTTCTGTATCATCTTTATCATAATCTTTAGCCAATGCTAATATTTGTAACAGTTCTTCTGGAACATCTACTGAATTTGTAGTTTCTGGTACAATGGGTGGAGGTAATTTCGATGCAGATAATATTGCTTCGGCTATTTGTGGATCAGCCATTTCTTTACGTTTACGTTTAGCAATAACAAGACCTAATGGATCAGTTTTAACTTGTTTTGTATTGACTAAATGAGACAATGGAACCATTGGATGTTTTGATACAGAATGTGTATCCTCTGATTTCAATAAAGTGTTCGATTTAATTGCTTCAATATTATCTTGTTCTAAATGATCCATCATAAAAATATTTAATTTGAATAGTTTGATTGTTTGATTCAAGTAATTAGTAATGGATGATTCAATGTTTTCAAATGAAATCAAATTGTTATTCAATTGTTGAATAAGAATTTTTTGTTCATTATTCCTGTTTAATAGAATAGGTAACCGCATTACATTCTGGTCATAATATTCATGAATTAAAAATATTACATAATAATTACCAAGAATATAATTGTGAAAGTATCCTAAATTATAATTTATAAAATTAAATAAATATAATTGTATCGGTTATTTATTTAAAGAAAACACTTAATTCTGATTGGCTAGACTGGATATGAAATATTATTCTCTGATTGGTCAGTTTGTATAATGAAATATTCAATTACATAATATTCATCAATTTGATACTATTAGTTCCTTTTTGACTTAAACAACAAGAAGACAAGGTTGATTTTAAAAGAAATGTATTATATTTGTGTTAAGGTCGCTATTTGTTTAACGTAGAATACGGTTTACGATTATGACACTTGAACGTTGAACTTCACCGTCGCAAATTAGAAGGAAAGCTGGAGAAGTGTTTGTTTGGAAACAATCAATATAAAATCATAAAATTTAAAGATGGATCTCAACTGTGATTCTTCAAAAAAAGAAAGGGATGTGATCTGATGGAAAAAAAAAGTTAAAATTCGATTGATTTACTCAATATGAGTTTTGTTCAACATCACTTCTGTTCTGATTCAATGTGATGGTTATACAGTGTAGTACTTGTTTTGTTTTCTCGTATGATATTCTATTCTGTGTAATATATGATATACTTGTATTCAATTAACATGAATTATTCTCAGTATGTGATTTGTTATACATGTGATTTCATCCTAATTATTAATCAAAATGGGTGTACGAATCAATATATTGATGAGTGTATCTTCCACTAGAGTCGTCGTTGTCGTGCTTTGAGGGTCAATGAATAATCACTTATACCAGTCTTTGTGTTCTTACTTTTGCGTTTCGGGAATTGTAAAGGTCCCTCATTTCGAGCATAAGTGATAAGCGTTTCCGACATAACAATCGGCGACGACCAGATATAGTAGCATTCAAGTGACAAACCATATCAATTTGAATTATATATTTCGAACAATCTAGTCATATATACTTATCACAGCATTTATTTACATGAAAACTAATCAAGATCAAATAAATTGAACATGGAAAAAGTTGTAAATAAGAGAGAAAACAGAACTAATATAATGTGGAAAATTTAGAAAGTTGTCAGATCATTCTAAACTATGAAGTGACTAAAAGAATAACAGGACAAAGTTGAGGTCACAATAAATTATTTATGTGCATATAAAGAAAGTTTGAATTTCTCGATTACCCAAAACTTCTATCAAACGAAAAACTTATTTGTAACAATTGCCATACAACATGTTAAAAGTTGTGTTGAGGTCGATGTTGTGACCTGTTTTGATTATATGTTTTGGTATTAATGAACACAGTTGACTTCTTCTAACATTTCTCGAAGCGATGGATACTAATAGATTATGAAGTCATCTATGCACATATTCCATAACCTTTGATCGGGTTGTTCTTTTATTCTTTTCTATAGTTATGTGTTCACGCAAACATGTGAAATGGTAAATACAGTGGGATATGGCAATCCTAATTATTATTAATTTGGAATTGCGAAATTTTCTTACTTTAAATCACGAACTCATCTTAGCTAGACCACCATTGAAAACCTGAGAGGACTGAACAGTTGCGTCGCCATTGCATGAGACTAATCAGCGGAGCGTATCCATGAACCCGCATTTTAGAATCAAACACAGAACGTTCACCCTGACTGTAAACACCTAACATCTAGGCCGCTAGTGATGAGTCCTAAAATAAGACAAAACGGTCCAGCTAAGATCATTTGAGGATTTAAACTACTAAATTTCTACAAACTCCGCAAATCCTACTATAATGATTATGGGATTAGTTTTCCCTAATTTCATTTAACTTCAATGAACATACAGTTTGATTAGTGAAATACATGTGAGTATTTTCTCACTCAATAGTCTAAATACAATTGTGTGTTTGCATCACACAAAAAAGACCTGCTGAGTTCACTTAAATATATGTATTTCAATTCAATTCCAAATTCTTATCTAATTCAATTAAACTGGACGGCCGTTTCGTCTTATTGTGGGACTCCTCAGCAGTGCACATCCACGACCTCTTCCCCTGTGAGATTCAAACCCAGGACCTATCAGTCTTGGCCAGTTCATTTACGTAGTCCAAATCTAATTGATTCCGAGCTATTCATTATATTTCATGTTTCCTCTCAGATGTAGAGGTCTTTATAATCCAGTCGATCACCAGAAGAAAGAGAAAGTGCAACATTAAGCAGCCTTGTCTCATTTATTCAATTAACAATTCATATCCTCTGTTTTCCACAAATAACTGTGATCTTATCCAGAATAATATAATTCACATTTTTTCCCTTATAATATTTGTTTTACTCTTATGTTTCTATTTGTTGAATTGATCTTTTATTTTTCACAAATAAATACCTTAACAAGTAAATTTGTGATCTGTTTGTTATGTACTACACTGATACGTTATCTAGTTCTGATAAACTTCATCTTTTCATTGTATTATCCAAATTTATCAAGGGAATAAACTGTTTATGTTTAAACAATCAATCTATCCACGTGATCGAATTAAAAAAACCGACAAAAACTATTTCATCTTTCAACCATAGAAAACTACAAAGGTTTTGATAGACTAGTTGGTATATTGAACTAACTCAAAGAGCCGATATTCCGACATCAAATATAAATTATTGATCACCAATATAACTACTACATTATCATTGAATTACGATCACGCTTTACTATACAATATATGTGACATTCTTCTTCTTAAAAGTTAAACACTTGGAGAGAAGATCAACTGACTTATAATTTAGAATCAAAGTTTAATATTATCTTGACAATAAGGAACTATGATGTGCAAATATTTCACTAAACGATAAAACTGTTAAACAGAGTTGGATAGTGGCTAACATTGGAATTCAGGATACGCGTTTCGTCCTACTCGGGACTCGTCATTTGGATGTACCTGTATCTCAAAGTTGATGTTCACTCTGGGACTCGGACTCAGTACCGTTTGCTTCAAACACCATCGTGTTATTTACTTAACCACTGAGTTCTAATAGCCACCAAATAAGATGAAACGTGCATCAAAGTAGATTCCACTGCTAGCCACTATCCATCTTTCACAACTGATTGATCACTGGGTGGTGATCAATGTAATGCTTATCTAGTCCTTATTAGTGCAGATCGAATGCTATCGATCATGTTGCAATGTGGCCACCAGTCTAGGTGACTCGACACTTCGTGCACTATGTATTAATATTTTAGATGGTGGTTGGAGGTAGTCAACAGGTAACCCTGGACCCGGGTTTCGTGCTATTTGGCACTCGTCAGCAAGGTGTACCTGTAATCTTGAGGGAACTGGTGCTCCCTGGTGGATTCGATCTCGTGTCACCCAGCTTCACAGTCAGAGACGTTACCACTGAGCTATCCGAGCTGTGACTAACCTCCTGAGGACTGGACAAGCATGACATTGATCACCACCCAGTGATCAATCAATTGTGATTACATCTCAGTCCTACAGGAGGTTAGTCACGACTCGGATAGCTCAGTGGTAACGTCTCTGACTGTGAAGCTGGGTGACACAAGATCGGATCCGCCAGGGAGCACCAGTTCTCTCAAGATTACAGGTACACCTTGCTGACGAGTGCCAAGTAGTACGAAACCCGGGTCCAGGGTTTCCTGTTGACTACCTCCAACCACTATCTAAAAACTATCCATTTTTGTTTAAAAAGCTTGTGACTAAAGACTATATCAAGGCAATCCGCACAGGATGCACATATACCAACAAGAAAACTGATCAATTACAGACTTAAACAACAATGGGAAGATACAAGTAAAATAACACCAGGTGAATAAAGTTGTTAGTTTAGAATAAAATAAAATCTTCTAAAAGAAAATTTCAATTAATCTTTATATAGTAAATAGTGTTACTTATCTTTTTTGGTATTAAACTAAGTCGAATGTGTATGGATGAATTTATGATGTATTAAAAGTAACATGTCTTGGTGTTTAATGATGAAAGTTTATCGATACACCATTAAAGATTAGTGGATGAATCCATAATCTTAAGTTGGTGAAGAGCTTTAATGACCATCAATCAAATAGTTATTGGAGATTTTACGCAATCATATTTCTAATGTATTAGGAGATTAGAAAAATAAATGGAAATGATTAGTTCAGCAATTTATTTTATTTGTTTGTATTGTACTATTTTATGATATGATTATTTAAAGTATACGGCTCAATAGTAATAAAAATTCGCATATAACGTATTATGATTAACTTGTTAGTGATAAATAAAAAATTGAAAATTCTCAAAAACCCAATGAATTCTCTCACTTTTATTTGAAAAATTGTAAAATTCACAAAATGGAACAAAACTTTATTTCAAACTATGATGTTCAAAGATCGATTGCCTTCAAATTCCCTGGTACGGCCTAGGGTAGGGAGGATTCTCTCTTCTTCACGAAATGCTCTCACATGGCTACGCGTATGAACCCACTATCAGGAAAGTCGTACTCATTAAATTCTCGCAACGAGGTGTTGTTTATAAAATTGAGAGGATGAAAAGCCGATGTTTGGTACTTTAACCCGGTTAGTGGATATCGAGGATCCATATAGGGGAGTTGGAAAACCCTGATTCAAAACCAAAGTTGCATATGGGCTGCAGTATCCTGAAGGAACAAATGGCGTATGAAACAATTATTGGTCACCGTCTACCATGGTACTGCATCACGTGACGTTGCTGCAATGCCTTGTGGTTCAGATCTTTAGGTTGAAGGCTCCGGGTGTGGCCTCCTAAGAAAACTAGATGTTTCAGATGGTATCTTAGCCCTCACACAAATAGAATGATTTATGTGGTGGATATCTATTTGGTGCCTACTTGTACCAATAATGATGTGCTCGAATAAATAAACAAATAAATGAAAGATCGATTCTGTAGATATTAGATTAAACAGTTATATTGATGTAAATAGTGTTGCTGAGTGATGGTTACTTTCAAAAGTAAATTATGACAAAAAATTCCGGAACAAATGGATATCAAAAAGTAGAACACTTGGTTGAAAAAAATGACTAATTTTGTCAACCAAATGAAATACCTATATTTAATAGTTAAAGTCATGAGTC